GGGGGGGGGGGGGGGGGGGGGTGAATAGCCCCGCCCCCCGGCATGGGGCGACACACGACAGCTGCAGAGCATGGGTCTGAGGAAGGGCCCTGGGGTGTGGGTAAATCAGGGGAGGGGCACATAGTAATCAGGGGGAGGAGGGCGGTGGAACTCAAGATTACAGGCGGGACACCGAACCTCCAGGCCGCAATGAACCACAGAAATAAGCATCAAATCAAATCTGTTTTTACGCAAGAATTCCAAGAGACAATGAGATAATGGGCCAGGAACGGAGCACAGCGGCTTCCCTACAGCGCCAGCCGGCATGTGAAAGGGCTCCAAAGCGACTCTAATAAAATTATGGACAAAAATCAAGCTGTCAACAAACGAGAGGAAAATGTGACGGTCTTCCGAAAGCCGTTAGCTCACAGAGTAGTCAGTCATCCCAGGAACGGGAAGAAATGAACGACGCCGTGTTGAAGGGCCACTGTAAAGCGCAGATCCCTCCCCACCTGGGATTCTGCTGCTGCAAGTCCGACCATCCATTTTCTGACGAGCTTCTGATAATATTTAGTTTAGCTTTGGTTCATACACGGCACGTCTGGGCATTGGGGCTTTAAAATATGGCTTTTATGTTCCTTTCGGTTTTCTGTGGTCTTTTCCCCTTCAAACTCCGCTGCTCCGTCTCAGTTATACATCATCATTCTCTCCGCGGACCAGTTCGCGGTCTGTTACAGTCATTCCCAGGGTCACTGGGAGCCAGTTTGCTTGTAACGCAGGACAAAATCAACACGGCACTGGCGTGGCCAGCCGGCCGGAAGTGACCCCTTAAGAGGACAGCGGGAGGCGCTGTTCGGAGTTGACGCTTCATTACTAACCCCCCAGAGAGAGAAAGATCAGACGGTCATGCGGCCTACTCACTCAGAAGATCGGGTCCTTTGGCAGTGAGCCTCACATGACGGCTTCCCAGGGGAATCTCCACCACCGTCTTCATCGCTGCAGGGAGAAGGGCAGGCTGGGTAACTTTTATGACCATTTCCACCGTTAATGCATGCACCACGAGCCACAGAGACGCACCCGTTTCCATTTCTGCGTTTGTAAACTCACTTACGCACGTATGAGTACCTTAAGTTTCGAGATTCTAAGTTTTATGTCACATACACAATCACACTGAGTGCAATGTGCAGTAAAACGCAAGGTTGCGTAGCCCCAGACCGGGAAGACATAAGCTTAAGAGACCAGATGTAATAATCATAAACATTCGTAGTTTGCAAAACTGGAGGCAGTGCAGGAATAAATAAGTATGTAGATATATAATCTGCAGACGTGTAGGTTGAGTAAGCTGTTGAGAACTTTATAAGGGGTATTTAAGTGCTCTGGGGTAACTGTCTCAGAAAGGCCATTATTAGTCAACTGAGCTGAACAGGATACTAGCAGTTAAACATAAAATTCCTCTAGTTTCACTTTCCAGCCATATCATTCTGCCAATCGAGTCACCCCCGCAGCGAGAAAGCTGGACATCTACATCAGCCAGCAGGCAGTGACAGCAAAGAATCATGGGACCTTCGAGGCACCATTCCCATAGTGTCCATTAGTGACCTTTGACCCTTGGATACCAGCCCGGTGCTGGAGAGAAGGGGACGTTTCACAGAGTCACCCAGAGCGAATCGGAGCAGTTATGGTCTGAGCGAGAATGGAGAGTCACATAGCGGAGGTTACAGGTCATAAGCAGCCACCAAGGGAAATCATAGAGGATCGCGAGGACACAGGTTCTGCAAAAGCACTATAAGCCTATAATCTTCCATTGTCAGGCCCATCGTGATGTCACCGTCATCACCGCACAGCAGGAGAGCGAAATTCAAATGGTTGTCCCCCCCCCCCTCTTTCCCTAAGATTCAGAAGAACTTCAGTCAAAACCAAAATGTCCCTCCCAGGCACATCAAATCAGCTTTCTGTGAGACAAAGCTGTTGCAGTCGACAGTACTTTCTTCTACTGCCACTAGAGACAAAAGCTCGCAGTGATGCAGTGAAGGTCACGTGCAGGGGAGCATCTCGAATCTGAGGAACGTAATTCTGCCTCCAGACAGAATTGTTAATATTGCACTGACACGATGTCCAGTCTTCTTCAGCTGGACCCGCAATCGAGCAAGACAGCAGCAAGACAGATAACAGTCACAAGAAACGAGCATTTGGGAATCCTGAAGACCAGCACAGAACACAGTTGCAGAGAAATTCCACCTATATGGTCACCTATATGTAACGAGACATAAATAATAGTAAATAAAACAAAAGACAGCAGAACACGATCCAAATTCTGTGGACGCTCTATGGATGCATAACTCCTGGTCAGTAATCTGCTATATCCTCTTCCTCCGCTGAAGCCATGACAAACAGCGTTGCACTCGCTCTCCTAAACTGGAATCTGGATCGCCATAAACAAAAACCACACAATGAAACAACCTGGCTCTTTAAGAAAAAAAAAGAAGAACATCCATCTAACAGGTTTAGACAAAGGAATTTTACTTCCAGTACATTGTGTCACAGTGACGCACAGTTTTAAAACGCAGACGTCTGTGTGTTAATCGATAACCACCTTCCTACTGGACATGCAGGCTGCTCAAGTCCTGCCCCCCCCCCCGGGGCATCTTCAGCTGAACCCCCCCGACACGCCGCCACGTGAGCGTCACCCTGCAGGAAAGGGCTTTATCATTCGATTCTCCTGTCCTGGAAGTCCAATTATTTCACTGGACCGGAAATGGATGCAGGCGCTAGGTGCCGTTTCCCTGCCATGTTGACGTTCCAGGTGTACAGTCAGTTCCCAAGGACGCGGCAGCCGGCTCAGGAGACGCAGCCAGCCGGTAATCTGGGAATGAGATAGCACTTCGCTGGCTTTATTTTCCTTGGTAGCGCGCGCATGATCCCGAAGTTCTGTCGCTGCTTAAAACAGCCTGGTTTAAAGGTGCTACTGGGGATTCTGGGTAACAGAGCCAGACAGCAGTGCTGCGGCTGGCTGGCTTCCTACATACAGCCTAGAGAGGCTGACTTCTCACCCAGGCAGAGTAACGCTTTTCAAAACGATTCATTCTTAGCTTAAAGCACCTTGTCTCACCAGGACATCATCACCTCCGGCACATTAATTAAAGCCACGCTGTAATGAGCCCTATAAAGGCCGCTAATGCTTGGTGTATATCTTGGCACCCTATCCTCCAGCGACAGCAGGATCCGGCCAGTCAGCGTTTGTCGCCGTAGGAACCTCAGAACCAGACCCCGTACGGCCCGGGAAATACCAGACTGACAACGCTATATGTTTACTGCTGTTGATCAGGCGCTGGCTGGGGGGGAGGGACCCAAAAATGGAAAGGCGTTTGTTTGGGGTATGAGAGGGGCCATAATTCATAGAAAGGGGCCAGCCTCACCCTTAGCCAATGATATGCTTTCAATTTGGTGATTGACAGGGGAGGGGGTACCCTGGGAGGCCATCAGCTGGCATACCCAGTAGCCCGAGACACTCTCACCTGGTGGGGGGGCTACATGTCACAGTGGCTTCAGACCTTGTTAGCAGGGGGTGGCACGCTTGGATTGCCCCCCCCCCCCATTTAGTTAGAGAGGGTCTTAAAAGGCACGGTAGCTGTGTAAACACTACACTGGGGAGCTGCTGGCACACACCCCTCTCTGGGGTACAGAGGGTGCGTTGTGCCCCCGTAGAGGGGCAGCAGGCCATAGGTGACTCTCAGAAGCTCCACGACATGATGAACGGGCTCCGGGGTGCGTTCAGCACCTGAGGCAGGATGCAGAGGAATCGGGCTCCTGCGATATCTGAAGTTATGGTCTCCCCTCCCCACCAAGCGGGAGAGCTGCTCAGATTACTCATGTAATAAATAAGCCACGCGGCGGACAGCTGTTTACAACGCACAGGCTGCACCAGTATAGACGCTTGTTCAGGGATAGTTACGGTGCTGCAACGTTCCGGTTCAGTGACAAAGGTTTTGGTGAGCTGGGCGGCCGGCTTCCTCAGAGCCACGCGGAACAGCACGTGGCGGGTGGGGGGCGGCAACGCACGGGAGCTGGGTGCCAAACGGGGCTGTTTATAACCTTATTAAAGCTGAATAAAAGCATAATTACCCAGCAGCGGGATACTCTACAAGCCATGCTCAGGGGCCATAAAAATTTATGGCAGCAGTTTCATCTGCATCTTATAATTACTTGATGCTTAAAGTGGCCTAATTTCCCTATTTGCCAATATGGCTGTAAACTATAATCCATTAAGGATCAGTAATCTTGCCGTTTCTCTCATTTGTACCCCTCTCCCATAGAGAGATACAATTATATACACACACAGTTCCATCATTCTAGGTGACGTGCATACAGTGGTACCTCAGTTCTCAAACTCATTAGAACTCCAATTTCTTAAAAGTCGAACCAACCAGTTAGAAAAATATTACCTAGAGCTCGATCTGAATCTCAGAAGTCAAACCGTGAACGCTGACCTAAGATAACTTGTACGCGCGGGGAAATGAGTCACGCAGCACGTCTCTCAGTGGAAACAAAGGGTAACGCTTCAGTCTCAGCTTCGCATTCGCTGTGATGCCATCGTGAATGTTTACACTAGCTAAATATATATATTTAGACAGCAGAAATACATTTAGACAATGATATACAGTAACAGTAATTATTATTATTATATAATAAAATACATTTAAAAATAAAGATTTCTTATTAATTATTTTAATATTAATAATAAACCATTAATACATTTAATCATAATAATATTGTCGTGGCGAGCGGGGACGGAACGGAGACAAAGGCGCAGACGTCAGGGTATCGGGGAATACGGGGTTTAATTACAGGTAAGGCAGGCAAAACGCAGACGGACAATACAATGACCAGACTGGGGAAACAAACTGAAATGTGGACGAAATACAGCGGACTAATGACAACAACCAGAAACAGCTGATCACACGGGGATTCCACACGGGGTTAACGAGGGGGCGTGGCACACGGAAGGAGCGGACGATCAGGGCGGGGCACATTGTTTTCTTAACTTTACACATTGTTTGGATACATTTATTTTCTTACTTTACAAGTTGTTTTGATAAATATGCTTAGATGTGTTTAGTACAGTATATGCTCTTCTTGTTTTATCCGGTTCATTTTGTGTTTAAATGCTAAAAAAACATATAAGCAATCACTTTGTATAATATGACGTACAGTTTTTGTATATTTGACCCACATATATGTACCACATATGTGGGCCACAGCACCTGGTCATGTGACCAACATCTGTCAAATCACATGACAGACCAGCAAGTGACACTACAGAAGTGCATTACTAACCTTCTCCGGCTGAACAAAAGCCGACTTTCACTCTAAATGCACTGAGATGCAGCAGCACGCAGGTGGTTAGAAGCTTCTTCTAATCTGGCATTTTGTTATGACAGCCACAGCGAACATGAGGATTGGTTTTCATTCACTCAGGGGGGTGTCAGAGAGCCGCTTGAAGGCAGGGGTAGAGAGAGAGAGAGTGTATGCCTGTGTGTGTGTGTCTGTGCTTGGATTATGATTGGATTACTTTACAAATGTCCCTCAAAATGTAATAAAAACCTGTTATTTCGACGTTGTGGGGATCATTTTTTCAGGTCCCCACAAAGATCTGTGAATACAAAAAACTAAAAATGCCAAAAGTCTTGTATTTTGTTTGCTTACTTATGGTTAAGGTTAGGGGTGGGTGGGGGTTAGGGGTGTCATTGTTGGGATTATGGTTTTTTCCATCGGAATGAATAGACAGTCCCCACAAAGATATGGATACAAACGTGTGTGTGTGTGTGTGTGTGTGTGTGCATACGTGCGTGCATTCATGTATGTGTGTCTGTGTGTCTGTGTGTGTGTGTGTGTGTGTGTGCACGGTGCACCTACGTTCCTCCACGGAGACAGTTGGCAGGGTCTGCCCCCTCACCAGCCGACATGTGCTGCTGTCCCCCCCACACACACCACAGTTGTCCTCCTTGGCGTTGCTGCCCAGCTGGCGGTCGCAGCCCACCTCCTGCCGACAGCAAGGGAGAATCAGCATGAGGAGATGGAGGAAGCACGGAACAGCACAGAGCTCTGTGGAATTCCATCGACCACCTGCTCCGTCTGAGGGATGCAGCACCACCTAGAGCCTCTGTTAGCAATGGTCTGTTTCCTCACCAGTGATCCCGTTACAAATCCTCTGGATTTACTTTGCAGAGACTGCAGAATAAGAACTTCTGGAAAATTCACCACTCCATAGGTGACACCCCTCAGACAGCACAGGGACAGGTCCCCACAGACCAGCCATTCTCACTGGCCTGCCTTCTGCTGCCCTCCCCACAGACCNGCCATTCTCACTGGCCTGCCTTCTGCTGCCCTCCCCACAGACCGGCCATTCTCACTGGCCTGCCTTCAGCTAGGGAATAAACCCCAGTTCCAAGACTCCATGAAATTGGTTTGTCGGGTTCATTGGACTCATCAGTGTTTCCATTACAGACAAAGTTTTTCCAAATATAGTGACAAACAGAGCATCCTTTCAGAACACAAACGCAAAGTCCCACGGCTGCCCAAACCCAGCTCATTCCCAGTGTGGAATACCACACTTCCAGCCCTGAGAAACTTCACAGACGGCATTTCCAGGGAATTAAGAGCAGACTCTCCAGGTCCATAAAGGAAGAACATGTTCTCTAATCAAGAGACTATCCAGTCACATAAGTCACATGTTTGAAAAATCATCTAAAATGGCAAGTAGTGGCCAAACACTCAGGCAGCCGCACTTATTCTTCAGGAAACCCCACATGGGAGAAGCAGAGACATGCCCAGCAAGGACCGAAAGCAGAGGGGCACGTTACACCGCTGCCGAGCAGTTATCAGTCTGCTAGGAGCCATGGCTAGACAGAAGAGCAGTGGAGCACACGTGTGACCCCCAGCAGTGAAGCACAGGCGTGACCCCGATAGTGGAGCACAACTATGACCCTGGCAGTGAAGCACACGTGTGACCCCGATAGTGGAGCAGAACTATGACCCCAGCAGTGAAGCACACGCGTGAGTACGACAGTGGAGCACAACTATGACCCTGGCAGTGAAGCACATGCGTGACCCCGATAGTGGAGCACAACTATGACCCCGGCAGTGAAGCACACGTGCGAGCTCGACAGTGGAGAAGAACTATGACCCCGACAGTGGAGCACACACATGACCACAGCAGTGAAGCACACGCATGACCCTGACAGTGACAGCGTGTCGGGACACTCACCTCGCAGACCCCGTTGATGCACATGTCCGGGGACCCGGCCCGACACCGCGTGCCATCCAACACTTTGGGCGCCAGCTCCACCACGAGACCATGGCCTCCAGCCTGGCATCGGAGAGCACAGGGGGCTGCTGGCTCGTGGCTCGCTGGCATCCACTCATACAGCTGGCCCTGGTACTTCACGTCATTGTGGGCGGAGCATTGCTGGGCTCTGAAGTCTCCAGTGTCGATGGGACACTCCTGGCATGGGGAAAAGTCAGCTGACCCGGGGGCATCGACCCCATGATTGCCGGCTGGCTCGAACCTTCTGTCAGAGCCGACGCAAGGCCATGTAACATAATTTACTGCTGAACAAGAAGCTGAAACGGGTGAAAAAAATGGCGTTATGAAACTCCTCTGTTTAGCAATCCCACAATCAAGCCATAGCCAGCTGTGACTGGAGAATCTGGAACCGCCTGTCAGCACAGAGTATGAAGTGATCGGGTCTTTGCTGGCGGCGTGACAGCCTTCCCGGCCAGACATCTGCTAAAGTCGCTCCTGGCAACCCCTGTGTGCAGGCCCTGCCCCCTTCCCATCAGCCATCACTGCTGGGCTGCGTCTGGGCATCCGCAGGGCCAGAATGAAGCTCTGAAGCTTATTCGGTGAGAGGACGGATTTAGCGTTCAACTGAAGTGGCTCCCCGGAACGTTGGTGATGGCCAACGGTGCGTTTTCATCCCAGCTTCAAAGAGGAAATACAAGTCACCAAGCCGGCGAAAACTAAACATGGCAATGCCAATTACAGGAGCGGGGATGCAGAGAGAACCGGCGCGGGCGCTTTGAGCACCTCGAATCGCCAGGGATGTTAAAAATAACTAACTATCATAGTCCACTTCCTCCCAGCCTTGATCCACAAAACCTGCAGATGAAACCTGCCAAAGTGCAGGGCGGTGGGGCCCTTGCTCTGATCAGCGTGTCAGTAGCAGCACGTGCCGGCAGGAGGTCTGGGAGCTGGGAGACCCCGGCAGAGCCGACCATGGCGCCTTCAGGTGGGAGAAGCAGGGGTAGCTTTGGCAAAAGCATGAATAGCTGCCTGCTGGATCTCGCACTCCCAAGAGAAACCCGGAGCCCCAGATGCGGTGCAGCTCCCCACCACGCCAGCGCCGAGCCCTCCTGTCCCAGTGAGCGATTCTCACGAAGGTTTACACCGAGGGTCTGTTACAGTCATAACACCGAGCCAAACATTGACTCCATATCGTGGTATCGCCATGCACTGCCCCTCCGTATCAGCAGACAGTACTCACCGTGTTGCTGCAGGTTCTGTATCTGATATTGCGACCTTCACAGCTCCTGCAAGACAGACCACACACACACACAGTTAACCTTCACTGGGCAGTCAGTCACTGGGACCATTGTGCAGTTTTTCCCTCCCAGAACACAAACAGACATGTGACTCTCGAACCCTGGCTGTTATTTCTCCTGCATTGATACCGCAGGCCTGCACCCAGTGAGATTTCGTCCAGTTGACACTTGGCCACAGTTCCGCCTTTATCAGAAAGGGGGCGGGGCTGCGTGCCTCGTTCTCTGTGCCGCTCCAGGCCGTGGCTGGTCAGATCAAAACTAACGTCGCTGCAGTCTTTGGAGGGCCAAGCTGAATGCCAAAACACAAAAGTACGCCAGCTCACCATATCGATTTGAGAATGGCATCGAACTCCCAGCTGTACCAGCCCTCTGACAGTGAAGTACATTCCATAGAAAGGCAGGCAATTAACCTCCCAGCCAGAGGGTGGCGCTTATCTGTCCCAAATGGTTATATTCACGCTCCCCGGGAGAGAGACAAAAGCCAGGAGCAGGGAAGGAAGGGGCTTCAGTGCTGAAAGCTGGCACCGTGCCCCTCCCACAGACCCTCCCTTGTGCTGTAATGCCAGGCAAACCCAAGGTCATCCTCCATTTCCCTCCTGCCCTTGCATACTCTTCCTCTCTGCTGCCCCCTAGAGGCACAGTTGTGTGGGTGTCAGTGATGAGCCAAAATGGGGCCAACGTGACCCCAGGCTCTGTGGGTGGCAGCTTAAGTCTGGCTCTTAAACCTCAAAGCTTCTCTACTCAAAAGCAAAAGGACTTTCAATGAGCCATGATGATATTTCATATTTTGCTCGTATCATGGGACAGAGAGAGATCCTTTTCAGGGCAGGCAGAACACATCTATCTCCTGACCCAAATCCACTGCATGCGCTGGGCCCAGGAACCACCCATCATCATACTCGTATTGCAGAAGCAGATTTATATTGCAGAGCCACGGATGAGAAAATTGCCTTCAGCGCAAAACAAACCAAGAATTCCGTCAACCATTGATATTTAACCAACAGCAATTTCCAAAAAATCTGCACTCTGCAAAAAATGCAAAGCAGCTGTATACAGCTTTTTCCTCGGAGGATTCCGGCACTCGTACTCAACCTCAGCTTCCTGGGGGGAAGATTATTTACTGCCGTTTATAAAATTCTCACCAGCCTGGAAGGCTTTTAGGGAATGTTCCTCCATCCCTCATCATCCGAGGAGTGACAGCCAGTCCATCAGTTTCCATGAGTTCAGTTAATGGCCTGTTACTTGTGAATGAATCATGCACTTGTGGCTCAGTGAATCCCATCCAATGGGAGACCTCCTGACAGTGAGACATAGCTGAGGACATCCAATAGCGTCGCTCATTACAGCAGACTTCAGCTGATAACTCCATCAAGAGACCTTCCCTGTATACGTAAACCAGCCGCACCACATCACACACAGACCATAACAGAAGAATATGAGCAAATATCTTAAATCTTCTGGGATGTATTAGGAAAGTAAAACAAGCTTTTTTACTCTAAGTTGACCCCCTATTTCAGCAGGGTGAATGCACTCCCTATATGTACCTTTAATGGGAAACAGGCTGCACTCTCAGTGCGCCTATTACGTACTTCCCACTCAGCTGTGCTCTAAGGATATTTAGACTTGCATCTGGTACTGTAGAACAGGGGGACAGGGCAGATCCACAAAAGTGCATCAGGAGCCGTCAGGTCCACTGACGATGAGACTCACTGACCCGCTAAGACACCGGCGCAGGGAGTAGGAGGCTCCGCCCCCACAGGAGCGTGAGCAGTCGCTCCAGGTGCCCCAGGCGTCCCAGCCCACCTCCCGGTCCTCATCCGAGCGCGTCGTCCTGGATGCCTGGAGAGAGAGACACAGAGAGAGGGCTAAGGCAGAGCCGGTGTGAAGATGGAGTCAAAGCCATCACAGAAAGGGCTGAGTCAAAGCCAATGCAGAGAGAGAGAAGACTCAGAGCCAGCGTGGAGAGGGAGAGTAAGCCAGTAGAGAGTAAGAGGACTGAGTCAGAGCCGATGCGGAGAGGAAGAGGATTGAGGCAGCACAGACAGGGAGTCAAAGCTGGCACGAAGAGGGAGTCACAGGCAAGGCTCCACCTAACAACCAGCCACCCCGTAGAGATGGGGGGGTAAAGCTGGAGGCAGGGCATAGGGACGGGGCATAAACCCGGAGGCAGGGAGTAGGGATGGGGCGTAAAGCCCGAGGCAGGGCGTGGAGATGGGGCGTATAGCCAGAGGCAGGGAGTAGGGATGGGGCGTATAGCCCGAGGCAGGGCATAGGGTTAGGGCATAAAGTTGGAGGCAGGGCGTGGAGATGGGGCATAAAGGCATAAAGCCGGAGGCAGCGTAGGGATGGGGCGTATAGCTGGAGACAGCGTAGGGATGGGGCGTACAGCTGGAGGCAGGGCGGCCCCAGCAGGACAGGGCAAAGTCACGCACAGAGCTGGGGCTCAATCTGAACCCAAAACCCAATGACACATCCCACGGAGCCACCCGGATGGGAGTAAATCATTATATCATCATCGTGTTCATCTAACGAGGCTAAAGCTCTGCTCCACCTGCAGGAGCAGCACAGCACCATGTCTTTACAGCGACAGCAAGAGTCACACAGCAGCTCAAATGCCAGCCAGACTACAAGTCCTCGCTCCCAACTCCAGACTACAGAATACCATGTGTTAAGCTAAATTTAAAGTTGCAGGAAGAGCCTGCAAAGTTAATTACGAATTAAAGAAAGCTCAGAGATGGGATCGCAGTTCGGAAAGCAGATATGCAGTTTTATTCGGGAGCAGAGGCAGGCAGCCTAGTGGGAGGTATTATTCAGGACCCCGGGGCCGCTGGGCAACAGCATTAGTGGCGTGGGCTGCGAATTCATTAAGCTGTGGTTCAGCATGAACTGCTCGGGACAGGACAAGCATCTAATCCCCCACCACCAACCCCCCATGAGGTTCTGCTGGAAGACAGGGGCCCAAAAAAAAGCCTGGGAGACTAGTGGGGGCAGGGCGGGGTGGATTTTCAGCACGCTCACGGTTTTATGCGCAAGGATGGATGTTACAGTTCAGGCTGAACCTGGCAGCCCGGCTGCCCCCCACGGGTGAGGAGACGCACGCACACGGGAAACACGCGGGGAGGGGGGCCTTAAGATGGCTATCTGGGTAATAAGGGCTGAAGGAGACAAAACACACTTAATGCATGTTAAAGAAAATATTGATGCTGAGGCGAAATTGTGTTTAGCAGATTGTATGACAGATGAAAGGTTGAATAAACATTATTATGGGCAGAAAGCAGCGTGGGGGGGGGGGGGGGGCGGTTTCAGCTAGTCGCTGGGTTTGGAGCACGGGAGCGCCCGACGACTGGTCAAGGGATCTGGGTGGGGGGGGTGGGTGGTGTCTGGCGCCCGTCCCTAGCAGGAGGCCCACGGGGTGGGGAATGAGCCGCCCGGCCTGTGGCGGCCTATGGGAACCAGTGGGGGGGCTGGTTCAGTGTGTCTGTCTGCCCAGCTGCCTGGCCTGTCCCACAGTGCTCCCTTAGGGCCCCGCCACCAGGACATGGGGCCGATTCCCCCAAAAGAGCCATTTGCCACCACTGAGCCCATCAGCGCCTCCTACAGGGCGAGTGAAACATAGTTACATTGGTTGGCATCTGAGAGCACAGCCTGCCACAGCTGTAAATCGGATCCATCATGCAAACCCCCGCCCCGCCCCGCCCCCCCTCCCGGCAAGGCCCAGCAAGCTCCCAGCGAGACGCCCTTCCCAGGCATGTGTGTGGGCGCATGCATGTAGAGCCAACACTGCACCCTGCTGGAAGTTCCCATGGAGACCGCAGAAATATCACGGAAGCGGCACGGGCAAGTGTCCCTGTAGGACCACCTGCGTCTGCGCCTCACGGCTGCCTCCAGCTGAGAAGATGAATGCAGATGCATATGACGACAACATCTCCCCAATCAGACCTGACTACAAAAATGCTGCGCTCCAGCCACGCCAAGCTACTGCAGGACACCTAGACCAAGGTAACGCTGATACCTTGATGGGCCGGCCAGCTCCTGGTCGTGCATTCAGGCAGACACCTCCCCCCCGGGGGCCGAACCCTGGGGAATGAGCAGACCTTGATGGCACAGTGTCCCACCTCCAGGAAGCCCTTTGCAAATAGAGAATTTCCGCATGAACACGCCTGGAGATGGGAAGCCTGGGCAGTGAGACACACTGGTGCCGTTTCTATAGCGACGACGATGACCATTTACCGGCCACAGTTTAAATATTTGATAACTGCATCTACATGATTTAATTGCGACGCAGCCGGGCCACAGTTTGACGTGAACATGAAACTACTGCAGCAACAGACAGCGAGATACCAGGAAGGGGGGCGTAGGTGTGTCTCTGGGCTGCAGATGTGTGTGTGTATGTGTGTGGGGGGGGGGGGGTGTGTGACTTGCCAGTGAACAAGAAAGCATTTATTTCGCAATACCGAAGAAGTCCAAGTGTTACGCCCAGGGGAGCAACTGATGGATACAACAGGCAGGAGTGTCAGCCGTCCAGAACATCACCAGCATCACGGCTGCGTGGTGAAGCAGATGAATAACACTCTGCCCTCCGGGCCTTGGGAAGCGACCCGGTCACCCGTGCGCGTCCACATGGGCCTGGCCCTGCGGCGGCTCCTTGCAGGCTGAGATGAGCGGTTCTGTAAGTCACTGCTGTGTAAATCAGTGGCTCGGGAGGTTAGGAAACCGTGCTTGTGAGCAGAAGGTTGCTGGATCAAATCCCAGGGTTAGCAGAGTGACGTCACCATTGGGCCCCTGAGCGAGGCCCCGGTCACTATTGGGTCCTTAAATAACTACCTCTTTGTCAGGGACGTGCTTCTGCTGTGTCTGAACCAAGAGGCTCAGAAGGAGCTTCTACCGTCAGGCTACTTGACACTATATAATCGACGGTCGTAATTAAACTTCCCTACTTTATTGGAGCTAAGCTGCATATACCTGATCTTTCTGTTATTACCAGCATGACTTTACTGTTTCTTATTTATTACATTTTTTATTAACACTGTAACTTCGTCTTACTGCTTTCACTCTTCTTACGGCGAAGTCGACCACCTCGCATTCCACTGCCGGTTACAGTTGGGCTGCATACCTTGCATGTGACAAATAAAACCCCCGAATCCTTGAATCTTAACCCCCCAGTTGCTCCAGAGACTGTCTGACTCAGTTGCATTATGCTTAGGATAAAAGCGTCTGCTAGATAAATTAAATGTAAATCAGCGTGGAGAGCCGGCTCGGCTCTGAAGGAGAAGTCCGACGTCCAAAACCCCAGCGGGTCCCCCTAAGTAACCGGCGACAGGCGGGAGAGTCTGGCCAGCGAAGGCAACCAGCAAACCATGTGATGTATTGACGATCACGCCCGGGTTAGTTAATCACGTACATAAGTGGGAGAAATATTTACCCCACCAAGCTGCACTTAGAAAAAAAGAAACTTCATTCCACATACATACCAGAAAAGCAAACTTTCTTACAGGGGCGGCAAAACAGGACGTGACGGCAGGCAACTTTTACAAGCAAACTGATAAATCTGTCAGCCAGCAGCGATTGGCAGGACCACCGCAGTCAGGCAGGCTGAGGCCTGTGTACAGCGTGGAAGACTTAAAACAACGAGACACTAAAATAGAGAAAACCAGGCAAAAAAAAGAAGAAATGATACACAACCGGCGTGTTCCGTCGGCAGTTTGTGCCTTCGGGCTCGTCTGTCCCTCACCGGAGAGCTAGCAGACGTCACTGTGGGAATGTGGGAGACCAAGAGAGACCCACAGAGGCAGGCCCACAGTGCCAGACAAACACAGGAGCAAGAGTCCCACTAGGGCAGCAGTTCTCAACACATCTGACCTCAGGACCACACTTTGTCTTTGGTCATTAGGTCATGACCGAAATCTTAAAAATTTTTAGTGAAATATATTTCACCAAAAAACGAGGCAGTAACAGCAAAGAGACTCTCAGAGAAAGACGACAGACAAAACAAGAGGGGTCAAAAAAAACCAACCTCAGAAAAAAAAAAAATCCAGACATCATGACCCACTTAAAATGGTCCCACTTTGGGTCCTGACCCACCGGTTGAGAAACGATGCATTAAAGAGCACTAACCCAGTGCCGTGCCAGGCTACATCAGTCCCGGGGCAGGACACACATCCTGGGTGAGTAAACAGGGGCATAGACCAGACTGCAGCATCCATCACACCAGTTTTACAACCTACCCACCAGCAGGACTGTTATGTAAACATGCGCAGGGCATAATTCTGGTCAGCGGAGACAGTTACCCGGTTAGGCCACATGGTGAGGGGGCTTAGAACTGTGGGACCGGCCCTCTTTTACTGCTCTGTGGGGGGAGGGTGAGACAATACCGACTGCATAGAGCTGGTGCCTGAAATCATACCGCTTCTCCATCCATCCATCATATAACCACTCATCTGGGCCACGGCCACGGTGGAGCCTGGAACCTATGTGAGGCAGCACAGGGCGAACAGTAGGGGGCGCTAGACAAGATGCCAGTCCATCAAGGAACAAATTCAAATTCAAACTTTATTTGTCACATACACAGTCATATGCAATACGATATGCAGTGAAATGCTTGGACGACTGCCCGTGACCTTAAAGTAAGAGACGAGTAATAAGAGATAGAATAATAATTAAAAAAAGAGATTGGTAATAGGAAATAAATATGAAAAAGAAAATAGAAAGTAAATTTGACTAAGAGAGAATAAAATATCTGTACAAATACAAAATATACAATATAAGAAAAATATAAAAAATCTTTGTGTGGGAATGAAGTGAATATAAATAGAACATAGAAATGTCTGGGGGGTGTGCAA